TGCAGAAACATGCAGTAATGCAAAACAGGAAATGATATCATAGTGAGGAGGACCCCTGCAGACCTTCATGACTCAATGTTGAGGTCAGGAAGTCAAAATATCAGAGACCGTTTTACCTTTTTGACAAGGCCTGGTTAGTTCAGGTTGTGGTGCAACTCCCCAAAACATTGATAAATTATGAGTTAATAATTCATGATATTGTAAAAAGAAAACACCTTTTACCTTGAAAAAGTTTGTAAAATATTGTATTAAATGCAACTACATTAATCATCACTGTTGTGTTGCATCAAAACATCTTAAAAATGATGTTGTTGAGTCAGATTAAGTTATTCTAAGGTTACCAAAGGCATGTTTACTTGCCCAAACCTGCTTGTTTCCTGCCGCCACATGCATTTTTGTCACAAGTAAAGCCAACATGGTCCCCACACAAATGAGAAACACAAATACATGGCATATTTTGAAAGTAAACATTAAGATTTGTACACTTACATGTATTCATGGTTTAAAGAAAAGTTAGGCCTATGTTTTAAGTGATGGCTACACCACATGACATTTTTAGAAATGCCATAAAGTTTTTCAAACCAACTTCAATACAATGTGCTTTTCTGCTCTACTGAACACAAATATGTCTGTATTCTGGCAAACTATGGTGATCATTTATTAAGTGGGAAACTGAAATGATAAATATTCCTATCCTTGGTCTTGTTATCTTACCCACAGTTTGGCCAAAAGCAGGGCTGCCAGATCAGAGGTTTGGCTCAGTTGAAGAGTTTTGCTTTATATGGAAAAGGATATGTTTCTCAGAACGTCAGTGCAGAGGTCCACATGTTCCATCTCCATGATTCTTGTCCACCAAAAACTTAGCCAAACTATCAGGGATCACATCATGCATCCTCCCCAAAGCCAGTGAAATGTTCTTATGTAAGCTTTTGTTTAGACTCCAGGGGCCTCCTTTATAACCGTTGCGTACGCACAAAACAGGCCCTGAAAGAGGCGTACGCCACTTCCGACGCATGAGTTGCGATTTATAAAAACAAACTCGACGGGAAAATTTGCGCACCTGCACGCAAACTCTGATCCATGCGTACGAACGTTTTGGAGATGGAGCAGTTTGGCGACACCGATGGTGAACTGGAGTTAAATGTCTTTTTGGTCACTTTTAGACAGAAAATGTAAAGAAAATTATACATATACAGAAAGATAATACATATATAATTTCACTCACCAAGCCTAGCACTTGAAGGAAGCAAATATCCATCCCTTCTTAGATGTCCGCGCCAGCGAGCGCATTGGGCCGTTTAGTGAAACTGACGCATAGCCTATCTAACGGCAGATGAAGTAAACCTAATCATAAATACAGTGCATGTTCACAATAACAGTTTAAATAAATAAAAGAATGATGTTTTACTTCTGATATTTCATTTAGATTAAATAGGCCATTCTCATTAATGGAGTTAAACACTTAAACTACATGAAATCATTAATACATGAAATATTTATTGTGGATGCATCATGCAATGCTTTTGAATACTTTTCCTCTGGCATGCTGTGTTTTAACTACAGAGATAATTGCTTATTATGATAATAGCAGATTGTCTGAGAAAATAGTTTAGTGCAAATAATGCGCAACAAGGTCTAGCCTATCTGTTTCCATTAAAAATATAAATCAATTAAAAATACTATTTGGCCATTGGAAAAGATTGAGAAAAACTTTCTCTGAAATGTATTTTACACTAGGCTATTTGATTTATTTATTCAAAAACAAGGCAAGGGTAGGCTACTAAATGATTTTTATTAATGTAATGTGACGCCACATCCGTATTTCATATTTCCCTAATGTCTTGTACCGTTAAACATGTTATCACATGGATGAATAATCATATGCAAATGATATGCAGATGAGGATATGCATAGTAAAACTAGGCGTTATAATCTCCATATATGGTTATTTCGGGGGAGGAGACGCATGTGCGCACATTCTTCCGCTGACTGGGATTTATAAAGTGAATTCTGCGCAGGTTCTGGCGTACGCACGGTTTTATAAGTCTGAATATTTTTTTGCGTACACCATTTTTGGCTATCGGGCGCATGTACACTTTTAGTAAGGAACCTACGTACAGTTTTATAATTGAGACCCCAGGAGAATATGTCGTACAATGACACGACTGAGACCGAGCTAAAAGATTGACTTTGTTCGACTGGGACTGATTGCGATCAGATCTTCTTCTAACCCCACGGAGGACATGGGGAGCAAAGCTGCAGAACTGAGCTTTCTTTGTGCAGATAATGTCATCAGTTTATTTTTAATAAGACCCCTTCACCACAAAGTAACTAGTAGTTCTGATCTTTTTAATTAGCTTCAGAGGCAAATGTTGAGGTCTGTGTTTTGGAGCATCTATTTGTCTATGATAACTTGAAGTGAGTTTTATGACTAGTCGCACGAAACGGCCTAAGTGTATGTGTTGGCACTGATTACATGGTCCACTCACTGCCCTTTCAGTCAAGTGAAAAGAGCAAATGGGCATGAAGAATGTGCCTAAAGTTTTGTGTTTCTAAATGGCTTACCATGGATTCTTGTCACCATTCATTAACTGTAGATGTCAAAAAGCTTTATGAAACATCTTGTGTAGATTTGAAAAGCTCAGATTATCAGGGTCTAGGAAGAAAAAACGGAGCAACGGCCTATTTACCCTAAATACTCTTTAACACCAAGAACGGTAATGATAACTAGATTAGCGTTCGGAGAGTAACAATATTATAAACCTGCCACAGCTATGGCACTCTAAATGCACTAACTCTCTAAAGTCAGGTGGCAGTCAAGGTTTCATCAGCTGGAAAAAAACATTCCATTAGTGATTCCAACAATATCATTGCTCTGTGTCGTTAACCTTATTGAATAATTTTATGAGAATAAAAAACTACTTTTATTCAAGTCAAAATATTTCTTGGCTGAATCAAGGTTACAGCAACAAAAACCGTAACCCTTTAATATGCCCTTGTGGTGCAATTTTAGCCGTTTCCCCCACAATGTGTATTTTGATGTATATTTGCTAAACGTAATTTTTTTTGGATTACACTAGCATAGAGATGACACAGTTTGACTAAAAGCCTAAAACGTTTGATTTGATCGAGTTTCTAATGGTGAGCCAGAAATATGGTAAGGTTTTGTGAACAATGCAGCTTTTTTTTTAGGAAGTATAAAAATTCTACATTAGAATTGGTGTGAATAATTTTATAAAATTGTTTGGGAATTTCATTTAGTTTAGGTCTAAAACAGTTGCCCATTACTGGGGCAAAACGTTTTTTTTTTTTTTTTTGTAGAACAAGTGGCCAGTAAAAGTAAAGCATGTGATAATACGTTATTTCACAGCCCAAAAGATGTGTGAATTGGATGCCGAGCTGGACTGGAGACCTTGTTTGTTAGCGATGAAGTCAAGGTCAGATTGGAATAGCTCCACAATGGTGGTCTCTATGGGCTCTTGGTATCGCACAGAGCCAGAGGAAATGCCTCTCCTCAGTGCAGACAGTGAATACCGCAAACAATGGCGATTTAGTCGTGCCATCATCTCCCCTCTGACCATTTGTCATCACCCTGTTGTTCAGCCCATCCCTCTGTAGGCTTTAGGATGATGACAGTGTCGGTTATGTTTGTTTAACTAATACCAATTTGGAGGAACCCCAGTCCAGACTTTTCCTCAGGGGTGGAAAAAACATGAACACACAATTAGAGAGGTTAACAGTTGCATGAACGTATCTTAGCCTATGTGCTGATCAAATTATTGGTTATTTTAAAGATAACATTATCTTCATTTCAGCCACTTTACAGTGGCAAAAGTCCAGGACATAGTCCTCTCAACTCCTTCCAGATCCTTCCATTAATGCCTTTTGGGTATTACGGCACCATTTGCCTGTAGAGGTGATCTGGAAAGAATGTAAAATGTTTTTTACAATCAATGATTTTTTCAAAGACAACTTTGTAGGTTAAAATCTAATTTAAAATAAATCCTTTATCATCGTCCCAGGGCATATTTTACATGATTTGTCAGTGCACATTATTGGAAAAAAAGGGAGGTAACACTTTTACTATAAGGTCTAATTGGTTAACATTAGTTAATGCATTGACTAACAATGAGCAGTATTTTTTTTTTACAGCATTTATTAACCTTTGTTAATGTTATGTAGTAAAAACGCTGTTGTTCATGTTAGTTGACACTAGTGCATTAAGTAGTGTTAACAGATACTTTTGATCTAAAAAAAAAAAGTATTTTTAAATAAGATTAATAAATGCTGCTGAAGTATTTTTCATTGTTCATGTTACTGATGTAGTTATGATCTGATCCAAAACTAGATGGATAAAATCAAATCCCATCCCATACTATTTCCCACTGAATGTCATTTGATTTACAAATATGCATTACAAAAGCTAAATGTGTTGTGTGAGTACAGTGTACTCATAATGTCCAGATAAATTATTTGATACACCACAGTCAGTCTTTCCTTTCCTGCCTTGTTGTTGTTAACCCACTTTGAGTAGGTTGTGTAATTTATGTCTGGGAATTTATTACTTCCTAGATCAGTAGCTAGCTATCTATTCATTACTGTTAACTCTTTGTGAGAGTGATTTAAAGTCTGACCTGAGACTGACATGACATGTCGGGACACGATAAAATCTCACCTCAGTTTGGCCCCTTGTACCCCTCACTTATCATTTGATCCTCCAAGAGTCAATTTCCCTATTGCTAAGGTCTCTTGTGCAATGGGACACCACTGGCATTGAAGCATTTCCTCTGTTTACTACATCCTTGAGAAAATGGTTGCGGTATTCAGTAACGGCCCAGAATGTGTTTTTGCTCCATCATCTCTAGGAGAGCGCGTACAGAGGGGCAAATTACCAATAAGTTGTGCCACACCGAAAGGTTTGAGTTCATGCGTCCTGTTTGCAAGATGTTTGTGGGGGAGGATACAGGAAGTAGCTGAAGGGTGACCCAGGGAGCAAGCATATATCAAGCCCATCTTCCTGTGTGATAAATCTGAGAGTTCCTCTGTGACCGGAGTCTTGGGAGGCTCCTTCACTGGTGGCTTGTTTATGGCTAAAGAGTTGTTGCTGATTTAACTGTGGTTGCTCACCGGTGGGGAACCCATGAGCGGCTGCCTGGATTGCTCCCCACATCTGCTTACGCTGCAAAATCACAGCGCTGCCATTACCACCACTGGAGTAATTACTACGCCTGACACGCAGGGCCCGTCTAATGCGTGTCAGATGAGGGCCGATGGTTAGGATTCGCTGTCAGCTCTCGACAGAAACCAATATCCCTGAATTTCATTTTTACTCTTTGTTGACTGAACATTCAGGAAATCCCCTCCTTTTTCAACAAACAACAAGGAGAATATAATGAATTTAGTCTGTTTTAGACATGGAAAAGTCTGTGGCTTTTTGCTGAAGATTTAAAAAACAAGTCGCTTCGGAAGATGCCATTCAAAACAAACACTAAAGGCTTGTTTTCAGGAGGCATTCAAGAAACGCTAGGAGACATACTCACGGCGAGGTGAGGTTTTGGTGGTTTTCAGAGATATTTTTGGGACTTTGCCACAACTCAGGAAGAGATTGGAAGCCCTGCAGCTGACCTCTCCGCTGTGATAAAGCCGCCTCACCGCTCTCTCTCTCCTCTTGCCCTGACTGTGTCAACGGATCAAGCCAAGGAGGACAGGAAGATACGTCTACGCTTCCCAGATAGTGTTGGCCAGAAGTGGGTGAAAGGTCAGAGATGGTTGGAAGGGTTTTGGGGGCAGCCTCTTGGAGACAAATAAAGGCAGAAGTGTGAGTGAGTTTGGCCCCTAGGAAAGTACCCTGACAACCCTGAACCAAAGCACACTATTAAGATCAGTAAGCCTAACCAGTAGGGAGGCCTTGAGCATGAACAACTGTTTACATTTGTGAACTGTTTGATGGCTTGGGAAATCTTGGGATTTGGGAGGTGGGGGAATCTGATGGATTTGATGGAGTCAGCCAGACTAACAGGACTGTACCACATTCATTTCCTGTCGCTGTCCTGCTGTTTTATTGGTTTTGCAATGCATGCGTCTCGTGTTGATATGCATATCACTTGTACATGCGGACAGACTAAGAGTCTCTGTTGCGTTGCGTTTACGCCCAACCCAATGACCTGTCGTGCTGGAATGGCAATAAACGGACTTGTCCGGGTCACAGGGTCAAATCCCATAAAGCACCTGTGCCTGAGGAACCCTTTATCTTCTTTGGAGGCAAAATCTGGCTGGACGCTCTAATTACTGTAGCATACATTTGCCCAGGGCACTTTTGAGTGCTAGTGTCGATGATTCATACGTGGCCCGTTAGAGCAGAAAGAGAGGCCTAGGACCCCCTTCTGGGACCCTGAACATCAGGATGTTATTCCAGTGAAACAAAAGGAGGGTGAAATGTGCTGCAAAGCAGGATTTTGCCTCGGTTGATTGATAGTACTGCAGTTATTATTGTGAAAAGTCAATGGCCTTATGTTACATTTACAAAGCGTCTCATGATATTTCTGCTCGTCCACAGAGCCCAACCCTCCTGGTTACTGCCAAAGAGTCTCAGTTCAGGGTTTTGTGTATTCAGTGTTATGCTTGGAAGTGAGGAGGCTCATCGCGGAAGTTTAGTTTCAGTGCATTTGCTGTCCTTAACAGGGCTTTCTGGAGATGTTTTTGGCTTCAGAGTGGAGTGTTTCAGGCATAGGCACAAATCTTGTGTTTTGGAAATACATGTCATGACTGAACAGCAGCAATCTTCGTCCAAATGCAGTTCAAACACCCTTCAGATTTGTCACTGTTTTAACTAACAGTGGTGCTTATTTAAAGGGACCATATTATTGACTTTATTTTATTTCATTTATAAATATTTTAGATTTTTTTTGGTTTAATTTTTATCCTGAGGTACAAAATATAATGCTAGGCAAAAACTGTTTTTTGCAGCAGCAGTAGTAGTTTTACTAAATGTTCTTCTCTCTCTCTCTCTCTCTGACACTTTTGTTTACGATAAAAACCTGTCCACCCCAACATAAATGTTCGGCACAAAAATTCTGTATGATTGTCTCATGCAGATTTGTCTGTTCAGGCCAATATATGTAAAATGCCTCTTATATGATGGACTAAACTCATATTGGTGTAGTTCACACTGCTGATAATCAGGGCAGGCATGCCATGTTGCTGAATACTGAAATTCAGTGGTATGGGCTCATTTCCCAAAGCCTTTTTACTTAAACATGAGTTGGTAACTAGTTTGAAACTTGTTTGGGAGATTTACAGAGGCAGGATTTTAGCATGTTTAAAGTGTGCTGTAGGTAGCGTGAAGACATTGCTCATATCTTTATTTTATCTCCAGAAGAATTGCTACATCCAGCTTCCTGCTTCCAGCTCCTGAGGACACACCCTGCTGTTGTTATGCACCCTTGACACAAAAACATGGCATTCATCTCTCTCTCCTTCTCTTTGTCTTTTTTTTTAATTTTTTTTAAAGGGGATGCGGGTACTGGTGGATGCCCGAGACAAACTTGGCGTTTCCTGGCAGAACTCAGAGAACGAGAAGCATGGCATGTTTGTGATGTCCTTTGAGAACAAAGCAGGCATGCCCGTTGAACCCTGTACCTTTCAGCTATACGTCCCGGCCCTGCAGGCGCTCTGGAATGACAGTGGCATCCAGGAAGCCTACGGCCGACGGAGTGAGTTTCAGCTGGTGAGTGTAATCATAATAGATTTCCTGTCAACCTGTGCCATCTGGATACTCATACACTTCACAGGAAGCACCACACAGTTCTTTGCGTAGTTGCCGACGAGTGTTCTCATAAAAAAACTGATGTATTATTTACCTGTATTCACCTGGGTTAAGTGCATTGCTCAAGGGCACAGTGGTGATTGCTCATGGATAGCCTGCTATAGTGGAGCTTCAATCTGACTAACCTTCGAAATATAGTGATATTATTTAGCTAAATTGTGACAGTGCACCCATTTATAAATGAAAAGATTTTTATTTCAAATAAATGCTGTTTTTCTTTTTTACTTTTAACTAGGGGTGTGACGAGATCTCGTGCCACGAGATCTCGCGAGACTAAATATGACGAGATTTGTCGTCGAGTGAAAAAGCTGTCTCGCGATATCGCCATGAATATTTCACCGCTACACTCACATTCGCCTAAACTATCGTTTTGTTGTTTTTATAAAAAAATAAAAACCATTATAAACTAATGTAAAAGTCTGCTCTGCTCATCCAGCCAAGTTGCCGGTGCAATCAGTGCAGCACGAATCACAGTTCACTGATCGCGTGACGATGGCGGAGGATTCGTTGCGCAACAGACTAAACGTCTGATAAATGTCTTATCTTGTAGAATATGCGCGCTCAGCACCGCTGCTCCCTATACGCGCGGTCACGAATTTGTAAGTGAAAGTAAAACACAAGCTCCCTGATGTGCATTGCGCACAAATTAGGCTGCATACATACAATAGTCCGTCTCCCAATACCCATCTCTGGACTGTTTATTTGCGGCTATGGTTTCTGTTTGCACTGCGAATATTGAGAGAGTAGGCCTACTGTAACGTATAAAGGACAACAGACAAGGGAGGCTCCATTTCTGAACTTATAATCGGAACGCAAGAACAACTGTAGAGACAAACACACCAGCCTCGTTTCTCTCTACCCGACCTTTTCCGAACTCACCGCATTAACCCTATAACTGCATAACTGCCGGTGCAAAATAAAACCGCGGTTTCACAACAATTATAAAGAGTCTGTGTGCTAACTTTGATTATGGTTGCACTTGCACTTATTGTTTGCACTTAATAAGAGAAAACAGTTATTTATTTTTGTTATTTATACTGTTTTTATTTCTCTGTTCAATGTATGTAAAGGAGTTCAGTTAGGTCACACACAGCCTCAATCAGAAGTTCTGAAAGCTCTTAAATGTACATAGTCTGAAGAGACTAATGTGAAATCATACAGGAGAAAAGCCAATCAATAAAAACTTTTTACAGTGCTTGTATATTGTTTTCTTTCAATGCATTTGATAATTCACACTCATAACGTAGACCTGAAATGACATGCATTAGAAGATTATTAGTTAAAACATTGAAAAGTGCACCTGCATACTATTTTTCCAGTCATGAATTTTGTCATTGAGGATTTCTGAAAAATTGTGCAAAAATCTCGTCTCGTCTCGTTAACCCAATCTCGTGTCTCGTCTCGTCTCGTGAGATAAGCGTCTCGCCACACCCCTACTTTTAACTTTTAAAAAAAAAATTGAAACATCAAAGTATCCTGAAAAAATGTATCACGGTTTCCACAAAAATAATAAGCGGCACAAATGTTTTCAACATTGGTAATAAAAATAAATATTTCCTGAGCAGCAAACCAGCATTTTAGAATGATTTCTAATGGATCATGTGAGTAATGATGCTGAAAATCCAGCTTTTCCACCGCAAGAATGAATTCCATTTTAAATGTATTAAAATAAAATAAAAACTGTTATTTTCCATTGTAATAATATTTCATATAACTGTTAATATTAACTTAATATAATCAATCAAAGAGACATAAGAGATTTCTTTTCAAAACATTAAAAAATCTTACCAACCCCAAACTTCCGAACAGTGGTGTATATTCATATAAAAATAAATAAATATGTTATGTTAAATAATATACTTCCTGACTATTCAAAACATTTTACTTGTATGTGTGTTCCCTGGGAATCAAAACTACAAGCTCTACCATTTGATAGGCTAGAGGTTACGGGAAATACAGTAATATTTCAGTGTCATTTAGATGTAAATCGTTGGCCTAGCTATTAAAGCTAGACACTGGGAGACCTTAATTAAACCTGCTGAGTGCAGAAAAGCAGAGGAAGCTTGACTTATTTATGTGCATCTCATCTCAGCGTGTACGTTGCCACAGGACTTTAATGAGTTCAGAAGCTGTGCACAGGAGTCTCTCAAACTTTAATCGCCCTGACTGCGCACTGGAGCGATGCGATTCACACTTTATGAATTTTTTAACTTTGTTGAGAGTCCTGAAGATCTAGGTCAGTGGTGCAGGATGGAGGACAGGATAGACAGTGAGGAAACCTATGAGGAAATGGCACAAATTTCCCTTCATGCATGAGATGGTTTGACTTCTCACTGCTCACGTTTTTCATAAAATCTACTTTTTCTCTGAAATTAGGAGCATAAAGTGTCTGAAGCATCTCACTGATTATTATTTTGATAATGTGGCTCCTGATCTTTTGCTACGATCATACTCATTTCAAAGGCTGAGAACAGACGGCTGTAATCTGCTAAATCAGATTTATGTCTTTGGCTCTGATGTGATGAGCTCATCTGTTGGCAGAGCTCCGCCCCCAAAACCCCTTGTTTTTTTCTTTCTTCTTTACAACTGGGTTTGAATCATCAGCCTTTGCTACTATGATGAAACACAGATGGTCCTGATTAAGGACGTGTTCAAATTAAAAAAGACTATTTACTTGTAATATTCTTCAGATAAAAGTTTAAAAAGTTTAAGATATTTAATATATTACTCAAGTTGGACAATTTATTGTGTATTAAAATTTGATATACTTCCCAATTAAAGTCACAGTGATTTTGTCAAAATTGAATTGTGACTAGAAAAATGTGAAAACCTTTTAGAGCAATGCTTTGGTTTAATTAGTGGTTCAATGTTGATATCTATAATGCTGATATTGTCTGTAATAAATTAATAATTAATAAATATTAACCAAAAAACAAAAAAAAACATAACATAATTTTGAACTGTTGACGCCCAGAATGACGATTTATTCTATAGTATGCTAATATGGATTAGAAGTAAAGAAAATTATATCTTATATTACAGTTTTATGGGAGCAGATGAAGAAGAGTGCTGTTTTTGTTTCATTTATTTAATTGAATAAAGTGAACAGATCTTAAGTGATGTCTGTTGTCTTTTTCCCATTGTGAGAACAGAATAAAAAGAAAAGCCGAGAACTAACACCACAGTACTTTAATGAAAGATAAAATAGACCTTGACAGAGAATTTGAAACCCCATCAAAGTGATAATTTAGTGAGAAGAACTAAGAATCTCTTAACATTCAACATCTAGCTGGGTAAGCTTTTTAAGTGCGCTTCTCTCATTTTAAAGCCATTATTTGCAGATTTTTGCCTTAATGAAACATATGTGACGTCTGTGGATTTTGACCCAGCTGTTTTTCCAATTCGGTCCGTGACATGAGTCTTTTGACCCTATAAGGGTTACGTTGAACTGGCCGACTGGGCCAAAGGTTTGGTGCCCCTGCCTCCCTCAGTCTCTTTTGTTCTCTATGTACTGTGAAGGCCTGTTTGTTTGTGAGTTAATTCAGAATCCTGTGAGTGGGAGGACATTACAGGGCTCAGCCTGTCCGACTGAGCAACTCCCGTTCCCTTTTGACCAGAGACCAAGCATTAACCCTGTCCTACAAGTTTTAGTTTCTGCCCCAAACAAAAGTGTGCCTGTGGGAATGCTGCTCTTTTTTTCCCTTTACAGAAAGTCTCTTTTCTACCAGTCCTATGAAACATTGAGTAGAGGACATGCTATTGAGACCAGAAACTCTCTCTCTAGATCCCACAAACCATCTACATGTACAGTACACAGGGTGTAGTATACAGCAAATTTCAGAGACTGAATCTGAATTACACCATGTAGATTCTGGATTTTGAACATTTAATACCAAAGAAATGTTATAATGTTATAATAGGAAATGAAGAAATATTTCAGTAATTTAAGTAAATTTAGGACTTTGATCAGATGTTTCGGTCAGATGTTCTTTGGATCATCTCAAATCATGCTGGAGAACATGATCATCAGGTTTGACATACTTGTGGAGTTCATGCATCTCTTTGTGAGAAACTTGGCCTGGATCTCACCAATCTCTACTCTGTTCCTTTGGCTCTTGGGAGGATTGTGGTGGTGCGAGGGCGGTCCTTCATCCCTCGGTTGTAGCCTATTAGAGGATCTCTTTAGGGAAAAAGTATTGGCATTGACTATGAGAAACAAGCATAAGACTTTTTGTCAGTATGCAACCCTAAATTAATGTCAGAATTCCGTATGACCATTGGATGTGAGGGATTGTATTGACTTGGCTGAATGGATCTTGACAAATTTGTGTGATTTGAATTTAATGGTTGAGTGAAGGGATTTGTGCTGATATGTAATTTCCTTCCACTAGCATTTATATGAGGAAAATTTTAAAGGAAAACTGGCTTTAATGTGTGTGAGACTTGCACATTACCATACAAAAAACAAAGAAAATGGACTGTATCCATTGTCAGTAAGGTTGCCAAAATCCCAAGACTCGCCATTAGCGGGAAGGCGGCTCTGGTCATACTGTGATTGAACACAAACGTTGCTTTGCTTGAAGGCTGCGGAGAGTTCATGGACAGGAAGTCTGTATTGCTGCTTTGTTGAAGGCTGATGCCGCTGCCCCTCCAAGAAACCACACTAGATCTCACGGCCCAGACCTGCAGATCTGTATGAGCAATGCAGCTTCACAGCTGTTGAGTCAGAGCCATCATAAATTCATTCCTGGCAAACTCACCATAATCTTCACATGTACGCACAAAAAAGGGTGGGTCGCTTGAATATCAAGTAAAGTGAGACGCTGTTGAATAATCCTTAAAAAACGTCTTTATAGGAAAGCTTAATTCATTTCTAATTAAGGTATTTGGTTTGAAACTGA